TAAATCACTTTAAAAAAAAAAAAAACTCATATCGACAAGCTCATCTCTCATTTGAAGTTGAGATCACTGAACAGTCGGAAGACGACTTCAAAATAACACAACAGTATACATTCTTCCAAATGCTTGGCACATGGTTCTCATGGGCGTGAAACTATAGATAGGTATAATCGAACTTGATAAAAATCAATGTTTGGGTGGAAATGCTACTTTCACGTTTTCTGAGAGAGAGTCCAAAACGTATATATTTGTATGCAAACTACCAAAAGCTCCTAAGCTGAGAATGAGATCGTTTGGCAGGACTTCTTAAGCTACTTACGAGGCTAAAAAATTGCTTTTGAATATATTTACATAATTTTTTGTAAGTGTTTTGTCAGCTGAGAATTGAGATACTTTTCTCAAGAAACTCACGTACAAAAAGCAGAATTTTTGTCAAATGAGCCCGGTGTAATCTACCAGAGACACATCTACAGTTTTAGCTTCCTTATTTTGTACTTTTGATCATAAATACAAATCAAATTGGAAAATGCTGAAGAATGTCAATATACCTCAAACAAAACAAGTCATTGAGAAGAAATGGAACTTAAATACGAATTACAAAATTTATTTTGTGAGTGAATATGCAGTCTCAACATACCATCAAATACAGCCTTCTTAAATATCAAGAACATAGAAGAAATTGACCAATATTCAACAAACACAATCTGCACTCTTCAACTTTAATGCAAAAACCAAGCGATTTCAAGGGGGAAAAAGTAACCTTACGAATTATCAACTCAATTGATTATTTTGAGAAAATTGAGTTTTGAATAGTGAATTCTCAAAGAATGTATGGTTAAAAAATAAAAACAAAAATTGGGTTTACTTGCAAAATATTTTATTGCATAAATATATGGTCGAAAATGAGTATGAAAATTAAAGAATTTTGAAATAATCGTTATAACCTTGAGGGGTTGCTCAATTGGTCAGGCTTTGGATTTGCTCCCCAATAGTCATCAGTTCAAGTCCCCTCAGGGCCACTGAGGTGAGTACCCGACCGTAAACTTCAGGGCCCCGTGAAATTAGTCGAGGTGCGCGCAAGCTGACCCGCACATCCACGGTTATCAAAAAAAAAAAAATGGTTATCAAACAAGTGCTTAAATAAGGAGATATCCAAGGCCTTAGGGCTAGAGTACATTCCTATGATAATAAAGAGTTGACCATTTCTCAACAAGTCAAATTACGGACATAACAACTAGGACAACAAGATGCAAAAAAAAGTAGCAATGCTATTTGTACAACCAAATGTTGACACACGGGTTCACGTACACTCACAATGGAAGAGTCCACTTTTTTTTTTTTTTTAGAATCTTTAAACATGTGGACCCCACAAGCGTATAAGAGATTGTCAACCTCTTATGTACCAATAGACTTGTTGAAAAAAGTATTACGTCTACAGTCTCTACTTTTAAAGACGGACAAAATTAACCTCGGAGAAGACAACAAATGACAGCTAAATAATCTTAAACATGGGCGGTATACAATTACAAACAAATATTAGGTTATACTGAATCGTAAATGTGTTCCAATGTTTCTTCAACACAATTATAAAGCCATCAAATCTTCTTGTCACACAAGATGCAAGTCAAAAACTTGAATTTCAATTTTAGTAAGATCAAGAAAATGTGTGCAATGGTTATATGGGTAGTCCAAAGACGAGATAAAATGTTCCTCGCATAGTGATGATCAGAACAAACTATGTAAACCATGTACAACATCAATTATGTTACATGTACATCTTATTTTACATTGTATCATGTGTCTACACATGATTGAATAGTTTAAAAAAAACATACTTTCCCGCCCAACACGTTTTGAATTCCCACAATGTCAATAAAAGTGTACACCATGAAATGTACATTTAGTATAATTCTATCCAACACAAAACCTCAAAGAGCTCTCTACTGCAGTAGTACAACATCGTACCAACTCAAATAATTAGCCTGTAAAAATCTGAAACAGTTTAAAACGACTACAGAAATGTGAAAGCACACGGCGTCTTCATCAAAGAATTTAGAATAATACTAAATGTACACAATCTTTTACACAATTTTTTACACCCACCTCACATGAAGGGGGGCCCACACATAATAAAATAATCGTGGACCCCCCTCCATGTGAGAGAGGTGTAAAAAATTGTGTAAAAGTATGTGTGTACATATAGCATTACCCAAGAATTTAAGATTGCAATACAAAAACATTTTAGGGAAGTAGTGTACCATCATTGGTTCACACTTTGCTAAATCACTTTAAAAAAAAAAAAAAACTCATATCGACAAGCTCATCTCTCATTTGAAGTTGAGATCACTGAACAGTCGGAAGACGACTTCAAAATAACACAACAGTATACATTCTCCCAAATGCTTGGCACATGGTTCTCATGGGCGTGAAACTATAGATAGGCATAATCGAACTTGATAAAAATCAATGTTTGGGTGGAAATGCTACTTTCATGTTTTCTGAGAGAGAGTGCAAATCGTATATATTTGTATGCAAACTACCAAAAGCTCCTAAGCTGAGAATGAGGTCGTTTGGCAGGACTTCTTAAGCTACTTACGAGGCTAAGAAATTGCTTTTGAAACTATTTACATAATTTTTTGTAAGTGTTTTGTCAGCTGAGATACTTTCCTCAAGAAACTCACTCAAACGAGCCCGGTGTAATCCACCAGAGACACATCTACAGTTTTAGCTTCCTTATTTTGTACTTTGATCATAAATACAAATCAAATTGGAAAATGCTGAAGAATGTCAATATACCTCAAACAAAACAAGTCATTGAGAAGAAATGGAACTTAAATACGAATTACAAAATTTATTTTGTGACTGAATATGCAGTCTCAACATACTATCAAATACAGCCTTCTAAATATCAAGAACATAGAAGAAATTGACCAATATTCAACAAAAACAATCTGCACTCTTCAACTTTAATGCAAAAACCAAGCGATTTCAAGGGGGAAAAAGTAACCTTACGAATTATCAACTCAATTGATTATTTTGAGAAAATTGAGTTTTGAATAGTGAATTCTTAAAGAATGCATGTTTAAAAAATAAAAATAAAAATTGGGTTTACTTGCAAAATATTTTATTGCATAAATGTATGGTCGAAAATGAGTATGAAAATTAAAGAATTTTGAAATAATAGTTTATCAAACAAGTGCTTAAATAAGGAGATATCCAAGGCCCTAGGGCTAGAGTACATTCCTATGATAATAAAGAGTTGACCATTTCTCAACAAGCCAAATTACGGACATAACAACAAGGACAACAAGATGCAAAAAAAAAGTAGCAATGTTATTTGTACAAACAAATGTTGACACATAGGTTGACGTACACTCACAATGGAGGGGTCCACTTTTTTTTTTTTTTTTTTTT